AGTGTGCTCGTTTGTCACCCTATACTATAAAAAAAAAGTTCCTTGCGTAGTATAACATTATTAATGATAAACGTAGGTATTATATTAGTCTATTAAAATGAAGCGTCATTTGAAATAAAATAATATTTCTTTCATGACACGATAACAAAAAGTACGAGGGAGATGGATATTATTCCATCTCACTTCCTTATTTCGCCGCCAAGGCCGTCTACACTGACACTAGGGGTAGTGACGAAAAAATCTTACACTTTTTGTCGCCTAGCTGCCATCCGCCAAACCCGTACCGTCCGATAAGGAACTTCGTTTCAAAAAGGGTCTCCGATTTTCTACAGTCACCATATGAAACATAAGCATTAAGCTTCTATTTTACGCAGGTATTATGCGAGAGTGTTGTCTCCCGGTCGAACCCACCCATAATATACTGCAGAGTGGTTCTACCACGTAAGCATCATGCTCATTATGTGATTGTATAAACAGTGAAAATTTCAATTAAAAATATTTTCATATACGTTGAAAACGGCTTCATTGTGACTTCCCGAACGTTAAGTGAGATGAGTTGATCTTACTAAAAGGTAGCAGTACATAACAGGTTTATATTATAAACGCTAGAGATTCTCAGTGGAGCGTTATGACGCAATGTGTCTATTTTTAAACGTTTAATCACAGAATAGATATGGAGTAACTAATGGAGATGTGGTTGCGCGGTCAAGTTCGAATGGAAAAGTAAATAATAGAAAAATACGGTGATGAATTAAGATAATTGTGCAAGCGAAGCGACTATTGGAGTTTCTATAAAATTTCCATGTTTACCATTACATGGCGGTAATCATTTATTTTTAATTTTTTAATAAGGGCGAAAAACGAGCGAATATTTCACGAGATGGTAAGTGGATGCTGTTGCCCAATGATTAAGAATTAAAATGAAGATGCGTTATCACTTATCACCCGTAAGGACTAAGATGGAATGCCTTGTTTCCAGTAAAAAGGGTCTCCGGTTTCCTACAAGTATAAAAGCCAAGATGCAGCTATATTATGGTTACACACAAGTGCACGAGTATAGTTACTGTGTAGTGGCGGTGTAAGAATATCCACTAACCCATGTCATCCCGTGGGAGTCGTAAGAGGCAACAGAGGGAAACACATAGAAAGATAGACAGCAACGTTTTCCTTATAACAACTAAAAATAAAAATATAAGAGTATAATAAGGCGAGAGGGTGCGTTAGGCTCGTGCCAAATGGAAGTCCGTAGTTTCTGCCTACCCCTCTGGGTGACAGGCGTGAGTGTTTTTTTACGTGGTAGAGCCATGCTGCAGCTATATTAGTAGTATAGTTATAGCACGAATGAGTCGGCTCAACCGGAGGAGGGCCACGCTATTGCAGAATACCAGCGTAAAATTGTAGCTTTAATGCTGCAGTGTTTCGTTTGGTGAGTGTAGAGAACCGGAGACCCTTTTTATTGGAAAAGAGGCATTCCATCTTAGTCCTCACGGGCGACAACGCATCTGCATTTTTATTCGCAAACGAGAATTGATTTAGATGTCTATGGGCCACAGCATCCACTTACCATCAGATAGATTGTGTTCTCTTTTGTCACCCATATTCTATAAAAAAATACTTGCTCTCTATAGTGTTTAGACCAGACCAGAAAGTGTCCCTACCAGGAAGTAAAGTTATTTGTATCTATTATGTACGACAATATTTATAAATAATTTGACCATGCAGTCTGTAACACCGCGCCCATTGAGTCATCCGGTGATACAAATATATAAACAGTTTCATTGACTGTGTGACACGTTATTTTTCTCGGATATATTTTGAGAGCGTTGCGCTCGTCTCACTGCAGATCATTGAATTATATCGATGATCAAATGTGCAACGTGTAATAATTATTAATAACGTTATACAGTCGCTTTATGGCGGGAAAGAGGCACTGCAATCAACGCAGTTTACTTGTGTATGTGTTTGGAAGTGATATTCTCAAACACGATTCCGTTTGTTCTATTTTTAGCCAAAAAGGAGGAGGTTCTCAATATTGAGCTTACTTAACGTATCTTCGGTAATTTTGAAATGATTATTTCGATATTTTTTTTATTACATAGGCCATTTGAATAAAACATTTACTCTTTAAAGTTACAGCCTATATATATATATACGTCCCACTGCTACGCACAGGGCTCTTCTCATTTTTGAGAGGGTTTTAGAGCAAGGAAATGTCTGCTGTTTTCTTATTTCTCAGACATGCAGGTTTCCTCACGATATTTTCATTCATCAGAGAGCACGTGGTAAATCAGCACTTAAAATTGCAATTAACAGTTTCATTGGTGCCGGCGGGGATCAAACCCGGGTTGCTCGCGTACTGTGAAATTTACAGCGAGCGATAATCCCTTGCGCTACCACGGCTCTTACCCCTTATGGTGGATAAATAGGGGATGACTTTTTTAATGTTATTTACTAGAAGACGTTCTGGTTGTGTGAGGTGTCGTGTAGTGGCGGTGTAAGGATATCCACTACCCCACATAGTCTCGTGGGTGTCGTAAGAGACGACAGAGAGAAATAGAAACTGGGTATGGGCAGCAGCGTCTTCCTGATAACGACTGTAAATAATAAAAAAAACTGCGATTGACAACCCGCTCGCTAAGCTTGTCAACTATGGCAAAATTCCTCCCTATGAGGCAATCTATGGGGGAGGCCTATGTTTTAGGCTGAAATGGTGAATGGTTCTTGTAACCAGGCCGAATTTCTGTCACGGCGGCCAATTTCAACAGAGACTAAACATCTGCGAAAGACAGGATTATAAGTGCACGGGTGTGTGCGCACTGCGCAAGCACAGATGCAGTAATCCGAGCACTATTCTCTATTCCCTCACTGGGAGCGTCCGATGTCCGATGGAACAGCGAACCGACTCGTGTCCGACCGAAGAGAGATCAGACGCAGTACAGACGGTGGCCCGACTCGGGATTCGAACCCGATCAACACATCGGCAATCGCATTATGACCACTTAGATTAATTACTCTCATTATCAGCTTATGAAATATATTTTTAATGCCTGGGAGAATTCACAAGATGCCTTAGGTATTTTCTGTGACGTTTTCATTTCGTTTTTGTTCCGAACAAAATGTTATACAAGGAACCGTCCCAAACGTTTTAAAAACGTTATTTTTAATAACGTTTCCGAGCCCTGCTAAGTACGACCACAACTAGATTAACGAGGCAGTCCAGACTAGACTAGAAATGAGCTATGAATAGCTATGAAATTATGTGAGAATTATTTATTTTTTAATTTTTTGAAGACTGTTTTACTATTTTTAAAGATTAATTACCTATACATATAAATACAATTAAATTGTCTGTAACGTTGAAATAAATGCGTTTTATTGAGCTAAGAGGGTTATTTGCTTTCCGCTAAGACGAAAATAACGTGTTCTAAAATGTTTGTCTCTGTCTGCCTGTGCAGCCTAATCTTTGAAATGGCTGAACCGATTGTAAACTTTACGACAATAATGTCAGCAGGGTTCTAGGCTATATTTAAACCGAAAAATTTGAAGATTCTTTTGAAACGAAATAAGTAATAAATTTATTTTCTTTGATTATCTTATAGATACAGGCGAAGCCGCTGCTTGTTACTACTAATAAATAAGATAGAATGATGAAACTGTTCGAATCCGTTATATAAATATAGGCCTCCTCCATAGATTGCTCATTGGGGGTGTTTAACATAGTTGCCACCCTTGGCAAGCGGGTTGGCAACCGTAGTTTTTTATTTTTTTTATTTTTAGTCGTTATTAGCAAGAGGCTGCTGCCCATCTCCTGATTTGTTTCCCTCTGTCGCTTCTTACAACGGGATGACCCGGGGTAGTGGATATTCTTTCACCGGCCATTACACGGCTATCAACTGTTTCAATAGTAGAAGGAATTATTTCAAATTTGTCAAATATACTCCATATCTGCCCAGGACCTTAACTATAAAGTAAGTGCTAGGAGTACCACCTATTTCTGCCGCCAATTGCCAGTACGTGCAGCCGTGTTCCGGTTTGAAGGGTATAGAGAGCCAGTATAATAACAGGCTGTACGATTCCATCTTAGTGTTCAGAGGTGACAACGCATTTGTAATATTATTTGTTTGCAGGTGTTCGATGGCCGCAGTAGCTCACTATCAGGTGGACTGTTTGTGTCATATCAGTTATATTAAAAACAAAACAGGCTGTGAGGCACTTCATTTTTGTCTATAGGTGTGACAACACATCTTAGCTTATGTTTGATGTTATTTGCAGTCGTCTATGGACCTCTGTGCCCTTTTTACTAAGAATGAGGCATTCCAGATGGAATGCTTCATTTTTAGTATGAGAATGGAATCTTATTTCATAGGTGACAACGTATCTGAATTTAGATTGACAAGTGGATCTGCACGAGCGTGTTTCTGTCTGTACTCTGTATGTTAGTTTGTTCCTGTTTGTCTGTGGGAGCGAGCACTACTGTGCATGTGTATGTGTGTGTCTATGTATGTTTTGTTTGTCTGTCTGTAAGTATGTTCGTTCTTGTCTATAGGTGCGAGTGTGCGTAGATGCATGTATTTATGTTTGTTTGTATGTATTAATGAATGTATGTTTGTTCTTGTCAGTGTTTGCGAATGAGATTGAGCGTGCACGTGTGAGTATAAACGAGTATGTGTATCCGTATGTCTGTCTCTGTGAGTATGTGTATGCGTGTTTATGCGTGCATAACGTGTATCTATGTTTGTTTGCCTGTATGTCTGTATTAATGAGTAAGTGCGATTACAACTGAGCGTATATGCGTGGGTCTATATCTGTCTGTCTTTATTAGTGCGTGTGTTTCAGTGTCTGTGTACGTGCACGTCCGTGCGACCGGCATTCATATGTGTGTGTCTATCTGCATGTATGTACTATATATGTTCCTGTCAGTATGTGCGAGTGCGACTGTGTTTACTCATGCGTGTGTCTCCGTGTGCATGTGTGTGTGCGTGTGAGTGGAGGGCACGTACCGTCCATGCTGCGCGAGGAGAGCTTGCGCGCGGAGAGCGTGCGCGCGAAGTGCGGCGGCGCGCGCTGCGGCCGGCTGGCGCGCGTCTCGTGCTGCGTGCGCCCGCTGTAGCGGAAGCGCGAGCCCAGCCGCGGGAACAGCGTGCCGCGCGGCGCCGGCTCCGGCTTCGTCAGCCTGCCGCCACACCACAAACGTCACATTCTTTTTTTTTTAAAAACCAACTGCGCTGGCTACTAGACTTTTGGCCACAAAATATTTTTTACAATCTGTCATACCCCGCATGTGAACTTCTGATTCTCTTTTAGTAATAACGACGCTGGTTACCACAAAATAATTACGACAAATAACTTTATTGCAACCTGTCAAAGTCTAGTATTGAACATAGGCCTTTCCAGTACCGGCTTTACCATAAGGGCACAAGAGGCCCGTACCAAGGGTCCCTATCTTCACAGGGACTCCGAAATATATTCGCTTACACTATACAATTGCTTTAGTAGTTTTGTAATAGATATAAACCGACAAATAAGTTATAGAATTATAAAGTAAATGAGTGCGTTACTAGTGACTTCTGGCAACCCGAAGCAGTGACAAGCAAATGACTTCCCAGGTAGGATATATGTAGTTTCGCGTTTCGCCACCACCTAAACTTTTTTGTTGGGCTGTACAATCGCCTTAAATATAGCCTGGATTTTTGTTTTCCATTTTTCTTTTTCATTTCGGCAACTGTGTGTAAATACATAGTTGTCGAAAAATAAATGGATAAGGCATACAAATATGTAGATGCTTAGCAAATTCTAATCGGAAATCAGAACAGCTTTTTTAATCTTTTTATAAAAGGTATACATTTAAATAAATGTAAAAAATCCCTAAAAAGTACCTAGAAAGGACAACTACTTAACTACACTATCTAGCAATCACTCAGTCAGTCACTTAGATTGCAAAGTCGAGCTTGCAGGGTCTATACAATGCATGTACATACAAGAGAGAGTCAACATTATCTATGATTAGGGATTCCCCTAAAGTGTCAAACTTCGCCGTACAAGATTATTGATTTAGTTTTGTTTTATAAAAATAAAACTTATTTAATATAAAAGAAGTTTTAACGTGTTCGCTTATTTATTAATTTTACTATGTCGAAAAGAACATGTTTTTATTAATATAATGAGACATCAAGTTTTAATAACAATTGTTAACGAAATAAAATCAGCAAAATACTACTCTATAAGCGTGGGTTCTACGCCAGATCTCTCTCACGTTGACCAACTAACCTTCATCGTTAGATATGTAAAAGATGGAGAGCCTATTGAAAGATTTTTGCAGTTTTTGCCAATGGATAATCCAGGATAATCATAATGCTGAATACATGCAGATACAATTTGAAACTTTTTTAAAAGCCTTGATACTCCTATAAAAAATTGTCGTGTTGGAAAATATTCTGGTGTTCAATCAAGGCGAAAAGAAAAATGTGATTTTGAAATTTTTGTCCCATGTGCGGCTCATTCGCTAATTTACATAGAGTTCAGGCTGTTGAATGTGTTTCCGAAGCTGTAGCAGGACAAAGGAAAATTATGACGGAGCATTTAGGCGAAAATATAGCCCTAAATTCTCACCCGGATACTAGATGGTCTGCGCTTGCTAAAGCAATTAATGCTTTGCAAAACGATTATTTAAATATTTCTGATGCTCTCCCCTCGAAGCTTAACAAAAAAAAATTGAGATTTTGAATACTATATTTCTAACGGAGATCTTTTGGGAATTATGAACAAAACAAGCTAAGCTTTACATAATTAAAAATTAAACATTTTGTACAGCCGACTTCAATATGAGTTATTAAGAATAACTCAAAACCTATTGGTCTGACCTTGATCAAATTCATATGGGACCACACGAGAAGTACCAGCTTTCAAATAAAAAAAGAATCCTAGAAGTCGGTTCACCCAGTAAAAAGTTTTGAGGTAACACACAAAAAAAAACATAAAGTCGAATTGAGTACCGTCTCCTTTTTGGAAGTCGGCAGAAAATAGCACTATGACCATGGACATTGCAACAAAACTTTACGCATCTCTTACCGATTATGTCAATAACGCACGCGATTTCCGAAAAAAAATCCAAATGCTGTCTATAAAGAAAAGTCTGAAAGAAAAAGAATTCGCAGCACACGCGTCGCTTTTTTTTTTTTTGAAAGATTATAAGAGACTGTACAGTTACATAGCAAAGAAAAACTCCGTGTAGATACGTTTATTCCTATAATTGCTACATTATATTATGCACATTTAAAATCATTCGGCAGCATATCAAGAAATTGACAATCGTTTTAGTTTTATTTGTCCATTAATAACAATCGATTCTGACGAGTTGACAAAAAATGCAATGATTTTGAAGAATTCCATGTGATGTTTTTGATGATGATGCAATGTTTTCATTTAAGGCAGTATTTATAGAACATAGCAAAGGAATCAGTGGGTTTGAGTATCTCAAGCTTACATAAACTAATAGTCTGATAAATTAGAAGAAAAAATTACAAATATTGAAGTTCCTAGAAGAATGTTCCTTTGCTTAATATTTACCGTTATCGACACAAAATACGGTTGACCCTACAGCCTATCCCTGGAACTTCCCGCTAATTTCAAATGCAAAGCGCTCACCGATTTTGATGCGGTTTACACAAATTTTTTTTTAAGAATAAGGGCAAACGAGCATGCGGCTCACCTGATGGTAAGTGACTACCGCCGCCCATGAACAACCACAACACCAGGGACATTGCAGATGCGTTGCCGGCCTTTTAGAAAGGTGTAAGCTCTTTTTTTGAAGGTTCGGTCCGGAAAATTCGCTGGTGGTAATTGATTCCACAAAGAAGTTGTGCGAGGGAGAAAACTTCTTCTAAATTGCACAGTGGTGGACCGTCCATCATCCAGATGGTATGGATGGTAACACGAGTTTTCTCGCGATGTGCGATGGTGAAATTGAGCGGCTGGAATAAGTCCGAACAATTCCTCAGAGCACTCCCCATGATAGATGCGATAAAATACGCAAAGAGATGCAACATCTCTACGCAGTGCCAGTGTATCGAGCTGATCAGAAAGAACTCGGTCGTCGACGATTCGAATCGCTCTGCGCTGGATGCGGTCAAGTGGAAGGAGCTGGCACTGGGGTGCCCCGGCCCAGAGATGAGAACAGTATTCCATGTGGGGCCGAACTTGCGCTTTGTAAAGTTGCAAGCGATGTGCCGGCATGAAATACTCTCTCGCTCTGCTGAGCACGCCAAGCTTTTTAGAGGCCAATTTGGCCTTCCCTTCCAAGTGATCACGAAACTGCACACTATTCGATATGTCGACGCCAAGGATTCCGATGCTAGCTGAGGCAGCAAGGGCAGTGCCTTGAAACTAAGGAGATACGACAAAGGGGTTCTTTTTAGCGGTAAACGCGCAAACTTGTGTCTTCTGGGTCTTGAACTGGACTAGATTTAGTCGGCCCCAATCCGAGACATTGTTAAGCAAAGACTCGACTTCAGATACAAGTTTGTCCCGGTACTCGGCGACATTTTCCCGAGAAATATTGGCACGGCCGGTATATAAGGCATCCCCAGTGCTGTCGTCTGCATAGCAATGAATGCTACCAGTTAGCAACATATCATTGATATGCAGGAGAAACAGCGTTGGTGATAGCAAGCAGCCTTGTGGAACACCAGCGTTGATAGGCTTGAAATCAGAGCATGCACCGTCTACTACGACCTTGACGCTCCGATCAGCAAGGAAACTGGTGATCCATTTGCACAATTTCTCGGGAAGCCCATAGGAAGGAAGCTTCGAAAGAAGCGCCTTGTGCCAGACCCGATCGAAGGCCTTCGCTATGTCCAAACTAACAGCCCCTTGGACTCTACTGCCTCCGCCCATCTATGAGTTAAGTAAACTAGAAGATCACCTACTGATCGACCCCGACGAAAACCGTACTGGCGGTCACTGATCAGCTGGTGATCCTCAAGGTACCTCATGAGCTGGCAGTTTATAATGGATTCCATTATTTTGGAGAACAAGGAGGTGATGGCGATAGGCCTGTAGTTGGACGGGTCTGAGCGGTCGTCTTTTTTAGGGATCGGGTGGGCCAAAGCTGTCTTCCATGAATTCGGGACTACGCCTTGGGAGTAGGAGTACCGGAAAAGACGCGTTAAAACCGGTGCCAACTCCGGAGCACACGTCTTCAGCACAATGGGAGGGATTCCATCGGGCCCACTCGACTTGCTGACGTCCAGGGAGAAGAGTGCTTTGCGAACCGAGCGCTGTGTAAATCGCACATCCGGCATGGAGCACTCACATCGCGGTATGGTCGGCGATGTGTTCCCCCCGTCATCTAGAGTCGAGTTAGACGCAAAAAGAGAGCAAAGCAGATCGGCTTTCTCTTTTGCGGCATGGGCCAGTGAGGCGTCCTCTCTGTGCAGAGATGGAAGAGATGGCTGACAGAAGTTCCCTTGGACAGCCTTGGCGAGAGACCAGAATGCACGGGTTCCCGAAGGAAGGCGAACTAGCTTCTCGCCAATTCTGCCGATGTGCTCAGACCTTGCCTTGGCAATGACGCTTTTGAAGGACCTGGAGGCGGAACTATACTTCTTTTTAAGTGCGCTGGTGTTTAAATCCCGAGACGTTGATGCGTCAGCCCAGGCCCGGTAGCACTCCTGCTTATAGCGTGATGCTATTTTACAGGAGCGACCAAACCATGGCTGGGATCTGCCTCCGATGGGCACCACAGAGGATGGAATAAAAAGTTTCATACCCTGAAGTACCACATCAGCAACAGAATCGGCAACAACGCTGGGATCTTCCGGCGAAAAGCAAACCCACCCACAAGGGTAGAATGCAAAAAAAGACCGCATGTCGTCCCAATCAGCTGACCTATAGTGCCAAACACGGCGGCAAGCTGCAGATCGCAACTGCGATTGGAGCGTGAGTGGCACCGTGCTCTAGATCAGACAATGGTCCGAAGAGCCCAGAGGGGCATCGACGGAGACCTGATATCCGTCCGGATGAGAGGTCAGCAGAAGGTCCAACAGGGAAGGTACATGGTCTTCCACATCTGGGATCCGCGTAGGCGAAGTAACCAGTTGTGTTAGACCATATGCCAAAGCAAAGTCATAGACAGATCTAGCCGCATGATCGGTTAAACGAGAACCAAGCCATTCAGCGTGGTGGGCGTTGAAATCGCCGAGTATCACGATCTCAGCGGATGGGACCTGTTGTAGCACGGAGTTTGCAGCCATTTCGACGTGGTCGATGAGTCGGTTTGTGTCGGCATTACCGCTATGGGACCTATAGAGGCACCCGTAGACGTGGGGATGGTCGTCGCTGTCTACGCGCAGCCATAGGATGGACAGGTCCGTACCTTCAAGACTGATGTCTTCTCTGACGTATACACAAACTCCAGCCCGGGGCACAAAGGAGTGTTCCAATTTGTATCCCGGGTAGGAGAGATATGAAGTATCAGCCGGAGAGGACACCTGAATCACGGTTAAAAAGAGGAAGGCCGGTTTCGCCGTCTCTAGATGGTAATGGACAGCGTTAAGGTTGGAATGAAGTCCCCTGATGTTGCAAAAATTCACGGATAGCGTGACAGGGGTCGCCTTGGTTGTATTGCTCCGCTTGCTCCGAGCAGCATTAGTCGCGAGCGGAGTTTTGCCCCCCCCCCCCCCCCCCCCCCCAGAATACGCGGGGCAGCTTGAGCACCCATGCTCAGGAGTGAAGTAGTTTGGTCGTGGATGCTCAGCGAGGGATTCTTCAGGGGTGCTGGTACCCTCCTGGGGTAGTCTTTTATTTAATTACACTACCATGTTGATGGGGAGGGGGGGGGGGGGGGGGGGGGGGAATTGGGCCTCCAGCCACCTGCACTCACCAAGCGCAACGCAGAGGTAAACCTCTACTTCATACTGGTATTCTGTGAGGTCGTGGTACCATCCCGGTTCGAGCCGGCCCATCCGTGCGACAGCAAAAGCTACCGCTTGGCTTTACCACTGTTGAAAATCGACGGCATTTTTCGCACGCACACACACACACGCGGGCGCGCGCGCACTCACGCGCACTCACTCACACAAGCACTATATTAGTAGTATAGTTGTAGCACGAATGGGGCTCGACTGGGGAAGGACCACGCTCTCACAGAATAACATCGTCAAATAGCAGCTTAACACTACTGTGTTGCGTATGGTGAGTGTAGAGAACAGGAAACCCTTTTTACTGGAAAAGAGGCATTGCATCTTAGTCCTCACGGGTGACAGCGCATCTGCATTTTGATTCACAAACGAGGATAGATGTAGATGTCTATGAGCCACAGTAACCAATTACCATCAGGTAGACTGTGTGCTCGTTTATCACCCTATCCTATAAAAAAAATGAAAAAAAACATAACTACATCAAAATTGTCATTATAATAAAAAATAATTAGTTAATAAATCTGATATTTATATATTTCCATATTATATAAATTAAAAATATCAGAGTAATGTAATTTAACTGCTTTGCAACGTAAGTATTTCCGAGATAAAGCCATTAGATAAATAACCACTTCTTACATAGTTTTGATCATATTTTTTAAATAATAAAAAATAAAAAAAATGTTTCAAAGTTTGTTAAACTATATAACATTAATTATAATACTACATGTTTTATACCTACAACTTAAAATAACCTTTGGTTATTTTAAGTTGTAGGTAACAAGACGAGATTAAAAATCATTATTACTTATTTATAAAATTATGTAAGCACTAAACATAAATGTAAATTGACATAATATTGGGACTTGAAGCTGATAACTCGCATCACACCTATTCCGCACCGCTTAGATACTTTTTTAACTCGTATACCGAGCGTCTCTGTTAAGCAATGAATGATATACTTACCTACTAGATAGAACTAAATCATATTAGCACACTAAGTATATTTACTGCAGGAACTTCTATCTGGTGTAATGGTAATACCTCAAGTATTTGGAATTTTAACGTATAACAAATATCAAAATTTTACATTTATAATAGAAGACCTTTAAATACCTTTAATATGGTAAACGGTTTTTTTATTTTAGTTTCAATTAGCCACTTAAATTATTTTATGTAGGAAGTAAATGGTGCAAATAGTTTTGACAACCCTAAAAATCATGTTTCTACTAACCCCTTTTACGTTTCTAATAACCCCTCATTCGTATCTATTCAACCCTTTCTTCGTTTCTATGAACCCCAAAGGCGTTTTTATTCACCCCTCAGTCGTAAATATTGGCAAATAATAAACAGTAGTAATAAACAGACGTTCCCGAGCTGCAGACAAACTTAGAGACAACTTTATCAAATAACCTGACTTGTGTCTATTCACCCCATTTTACGGTACCTTTTTTATTTATAATGCTGGCTACAAAAAACCTTTGGTAAAAAAAATATTTATTATTCCCTTTTTTATTTACAATGACATAACCTACGAGACATTTCCCCACAACAAATAAATCAAACATACCGAAACTCATTTTTTTACACATTATGACATTGCCTTCAATACGTCAAACGCAGTATACATTACATGTCATAACAAAAATATGTTAACAAATTGCATTTTTCTCATTTCCTTATAATTTTTATTGAAATTGAATTTATATTTGATTCACATTGTTTTGTTTACAAATCAGTAAGTGCGGTCAAGTTGCCGTAAAAACTCTGATTCTTACTTCTTTTTTCTAATTAAAAATAACAAATTAAAAATCGGGGTTTAAAAATAACGCCTATTGTTATTTGAAGCTAACAACAAACTGTTTTTAATTACTTATTAATCCAAGTGTCATTCATTCTTCCGTTCATTAATTCAATACAGCTTATCATCATCCAAAAGTTCACAGCTGAACAGATTTCCTCATAGGGTTGTCAAAGTTGCCACGTTTGGCATGCGGGCAGCAACCAAATTCTTTTTATTATTTTCGAGTCGCCTCTTAAAACATCTACTGTATGTAATTATCTAATTAAAATGTAGTAGCATGTGACATTTATCAAATAAATTTTTATATGATGTGATAGACCTACACTGCAGTTGTTTAATAGTTGTAGGTTGTAGCACGTATAACAGAGACAACGCTCTACAAACTACAGCGAGCCAACCATTCAAGAGAGACTATCTGCTGTCTCTTTCTAAGACTCAATATATATTTACCAACGGCTACCCGAAATTAAATCTAGATAGTTGTGAATGCCTCCTCACCTAAAGAACGTGTGGTGTTCGACGCAAGTCTTCCAGAGCTTCTTGGCGGCGCGGTGGTTGGCCAGCTTGAAGCAGACCGTGGACTCGAACTGCTCGAACTCCCCTGGCCGCAGCTTCACGTAGAAGTTGTGCCGTTTGTAGCTGATCTTGAGGATCTTTGGCCACGCGAATCGGTTGATGCGGAGCCTGTGGTACAAGAAATAATCTTTATATATATAGTCCCCCGCCTCCACGCAGCCCTTCGGTCTGCACCCAGCTTTCTATACCCAGCTTCGGTTATATATTTGAGCAGTCAAAACAAAGTTGCTTTTTACACGATCCACACTTAATGCCATCATTGAAATGTGTATTGCATAGTGCACAATGCATTATTATTAATAAATACTTGCGACGTAAGCAAATAAAATATACAAATAAAAAATGGTGATAGAAAATGAACTTAGCACAACTTGTTTATAACTGCTGATGCTCAGAACTCGTTTTAATTATTACCGACACGTGCTATCTAAGAGTAAACAACGACAAGTGAAAACAGAATTAAACTATGAAATTTTCTGTGGAACGTATGTAGAAAATCTGCTCTGCTAGACATTAAATCAGGTGCATTTGTTTACTTCTCACTTTCACAGTATAAAATTAAAATGATAAAAGATTTATTGATTTACATTGACACATTTTATGCTAGGTGCAATGGCGCCTGTGCTACTAGATACCAGGCTAAGTACAGTGTTGGTGTATTTTACTCTGGGAATTCGCTACTTGATTTTTAACCAAATTTTAACTACATTTATTGACTAAGTGCAGTGTAAAGGTATAATAGAAGACATGACACTGAGGCCCGTAGCACCACGCCATAAAGATGCAAACGAAATGAAAATCAACCCAAATCACGTTATTGAAGTTTCCCAATGACTCTACTTAATAAACAGAAGCTTCTCTCTAGCACATGTAGTGTTACCCGCTCCTAAGGCGCTGAATTCCTTGTTCGACAGGAGACCTTCCCTTTTTCTTCAACAGCCAAAACCACATCATCATCATATTTAAAGGGGATATTTGGCAGGCGGGTTGGCAACCGCTGTTTTTCTCTGGTTGTTATTAGGAAGACGCTGCTGTCCATCTCCTGGTTTGTTTCCCTCTTCCGGCTCTTAAACACCCACGGGACGATTTCGGGTAGTGGATATTCTTACAGTTAAGAGTGGATAAGAATGAAGAATGGTAGTGACGAGGCGTTGCATTGGCAAACAAACTATCTGACCAGAGTTACTGACGCCCGAACTCCCCCAGAGATCGTCATCGGGTAATTCTTGTCCGACCCTGGGACTTTTCGCTAGTTGGCTAGTTATTTTTACATTGCCACTACACGGTTATGATCATTACAGCCCTTCACAAGTCCACTGCTGAACATAGACGTCCTACAAGGAATGCCACAAAGCACGGTCCTGAGCCATCTGCATTCATCGACTTCCTACATGTCTTACCAGGTCGTAACACCATCTAGTGGGGTACGCCCTACACTTCGCCTACTGGTGCGAGACCACTCGAGAACCTTTCTTCTCCATCGGTTGTCGGTTCTTCGAGCCATATGGCCGGCCCATTGCTACTTCAGCTTACTAATTCCATTATGATAAGTACATATTGTAAAAGAACTGACTTCTCCCGGTGCACCATCAGTCCAGAGGAGCAGACGCCGAGCGTAATGTCGACGTTCTCAGAGTCCTTGGCGGGATGCAGGTCCACGCCGTACATCGCCAGTTTCTTGGCGTTCTCCAAGTAGTTTAGTTCCGCCTCCGCTGGCGTTTGTCCTCTGTAAAAGAAGACAATTGAATACAATTAAATATATTTTCAATCACTCATTTAACAGCCCGTATAAAGTAAAAATAACCATAAGAAATGATTGTATTTAATAAATTTCGGCAGAAACACAGATTTAGAAAAGATCAATCATTTATTTAAAAATATCAATTAAGAAAAGCTAGCAATAAAGCAGTCTTGTAATTAAGTTTTATGGCTAGATTTACAAAAGGTCAGTAACTGGCTCCAAATTCCAGGCAAGTCAGTGCTAACCCGATACTGACATAGTGTAAATTGATTTGGAGTCAGTAAGGCGCTGTCGCGCCAGTGCTGACTTCAATATTCCTTCTTGAATATTTTGAAGTCAGTCCACACGCCCGCCACCAGAGCCAGTGGTATTGACCTTGTCTAAACGACCAAGTCAGTGCTTGGTCAGTCGCTGGCGCTGCATTGTAGAGTGACGTCACGTCAACAACAAAGTAGAACCTCCAGTTTCTCTTCTGTCCTCTATCCATTTTCTTAGAAAAAATCGTTTCTTTTTAAACAGTAGGTAGGAACATTTTCCCAACAAATATTTCCAATTGTTGTAAATTCTGCCGTTTACGTGAATTCATTTTTGCTCACTGACTTCAACAACGTGCGTACACCCTCAACAAGTTACCACGAATACTGACTACACGTAAACAGTGCGAGTCTGTCCTCGGCGCCAGTACTGGCGCCTGTTACTAACCCTCTGTAAATCAGCCTTTATTGTATATACATTAGTCGCCTCGATACGATATGTTAAAGACCAAGACATATTTTTCGTTGTTCGTTTTTTTTTAAATATTTCCAGTATTTCAGATAAAATATAGCCTAGGTCTCTCCCGTAATTGCTCTATATCTGTTCGAAAAGTTTCATCACAATAGGTTCGACCATTCCGAAGATTAGTCCGGACAGACAGACAAAAAACTTAAAGATATTTATTTATATTTTATGTATTATGAAGAGACAAACGAGCACACAGTTCAGTAAGTGGATTCTGTGGCCTATATGCATCTACATCTATCTTCCACCACCACCATTCTGGAGATTAATTCGATGTCACAACTATTCGCGGCATTTTTACACTTGCTTAGAGTAGTCGAAATCAGCCTGTATGACCAATTGAAATCGAGATCCATCCTGACCTGTGAGTCTTGTGCAATTCCACGACCTTCTCTTCAAGCTCAGGAGTACAAGCGCTGGGCGGCACCAGCTTCAGCTGCTTGCACAGTCCAGCCCCATTCTCTGACTCCTCGTAGTCGCCCAGTTCGGACTGCAGCAGGTAGCTGGCGAGCAACGCGTGGGTTACCGCTGAGCAAGGAAGACGCCCTGGAAAGATCAGAAAATTTGGTTAGTTGTATACACAACTATATACGATATCACGTAAGAGTATCCATCAGACCATTTCGTTACGTGGTAGAGCCATGCTACAGGTACATTATAATTGTAGCACGAATGGGTCGGCTCTATCGAAGAAGGACCACGCTTTCACTGAATACCAATGTGAAATAGCAGTTCAATGCTGATGTGTTTCGTATGGCGAGTGCAGGGAACCGGAGACACTTTTTATTGGAAACGAGGCATTTCATCTTAGTTCGCAGGAGCGACAGCGCATCTACATTTTGATTATTTATTGAGAATAGATGTAGATGTCTATGGGCATCAGCATCAATGTAACATCCAGTGGACCGTGTGCTGGTTTGTCAACCTTATTCTATGGAAAAACGTATCGTAAATGGCATCTATGTGATGTGCCAGAAACGTTTCATAGCTTCCTAGAGATGGCGGTATAACGAACATGTTGACACCAGATATACCCCAGAACAGCGACGGGAAACACCGTATAGCTGCGGTGTAAAAATATCCACTACCCCATATCGTTCCGTGGGTGTCGTAAGAGGCGGCAGGGGCAAACAAACTAGGAGATCGGCAGCAGCGTCTTCCTAGTAACAACTAAAATTAAAAACAACTTACGGTTGCCAACCCACCTATCAAGCGTTTCTAACAAATAATCTCCCCATGATACAATCTATGGAGGAGAGCTATGTCCAGCAGTGGACTTTTGATAGGCTGTAAAGGTAAGGACGGGGAGCAGTATTAAAGGAGTTGATGCCTGCTTTTGCACTCGTCTATCCGCCTGCCTATCACAGTCTATCCTTTTTACGGTTACGTAACCAACGGGACTTTATCACTAAGCTACCGCTGTCCGTCCGTCTGTCTGTCAGCGGGCTGTATCTCATAATCCGTTATAGGATAGTTGAAATTTTCATAGAATGTGTATTTCTGTTGTCGCTATAATTGCAAATAGAAAAAAAAAATTAAAAATTAAAGGCAGCTCCCCTACTAGAAACGTGTGTGGTGGTACGGTACCCTTCATGCGTGAGTCCGACTCGCACTTGGCCGGTTTTTTTATAGAAGAGGGGGCAAACGAGCATACGGCTCATCTGATGGTAAGTGTCGACCGCCCCCCATGAACAACTGCAACACCAGGGATATTGCAGGCGCGTTGCTAGCCTTTTAAAAAGGAGTTAGCTCGTTTCTTAATGGTCATGTTCGGTAATGGACTTTACACACACTACAAGGGGCACAATTGACGATGTACGTGGGCCAGTGCTACTGAAGTAGATCGAATAACTCTCTGTTTCTTGATCTGTTGATGATGTCTGTTCGACTTTCCACGCATCCTATCCAAACGGTTTGCATCGTCTTTTGTAATGCGTACAGCAAATGAGTGGAATAATCTTTCTTTCCCTACGATTACAATCTGGGTGTCTCTAAGGAAAGAGTGAATAGGCATTTGTTACGTTAAGGCAGTTAAGGCGATTTACCATCTACGGCCTCATCACTACTTGCTAGATTATATTATCATTATATTATCATAAAGTTTCCATACAAATATATGTTTTGAAAACTCTCTGTATTTCAATTGACTAGTGCGAAATATCCAATTGCACTCACCTTCAAGGAGGTCTCTCCTGACGGCGAGTACGAGCTGGTACCTGGTGAGTTCCTCTTGCAGCTGTGCCGGCTCTGGTGGGTAGAACTTCACCGCGAAACGGACCTCCCAAGGTTCGCCTGTTGACAAAAGTCACACATTTTATTTATTAGTTCAAAAATAACTCACGAAGTTATCAAGAAGATGCTGCTGCTCATCTCCTGTTTCAGTTTAGATTCGTCATCTTTTACACGACACCCATGGAATGATATGGGGTTATGGATGTTCTTGTTACGGTTAAGAAACCGTGTAGCGGCAGAACTCTGTACATTTTTGGACTCAAGAAGTTTGACCACGTCACTAAATACAGAAAGCAGTTCAAGTGGCTCCCGATCCGATTTCGCAGGAACACTCGTATCCTTTGTCTTTTTTTTAACATCTTACATATGTAGTTCGAATTTCCCTACATACCTTCGTAATCGATTTACCTTTTTTAAATCTCCAGATGCAGTTTGTAGATCTCACCTTAAAAACCTCTTAAAATTCCCATCCTTTAAAGCTCATTCATATTCCCGTTCATTATCTGTACATGCAGTAAGACTCTGGAATGCACTTCCTCCTCCCATTCGAGAAATCAAAACAGTGACATTGTTCAAAAAACGTGTAAAATAACATTAATTATCTCTGTCTCCTATGTAAGTTTCCATATCTATTTTTGTATGTATTGTATAATAACAGAGTGCACACCTTATTATCTTTTATTTATCACATTTTTTTAACTGGCCTACTGGAAGAAATTTCATTACGAGATAAGTAGCGCCTTTGTGCAAACACTTCATCATGTTGTGTCCTTTCCGTTGTTTGTGTGTACATAAATTGTTAAATAAATAAATACATAAATAATGATATACCGTTATTGCAGTCTTTTAATAAAATACGAGTAAGTAAGACTTCTCTACTTTTATTTTAAATTATCCCAAATTGAATGTGATTTATGGGCAATATAACTACGCGTACGCGCTAACCTCTGTGTGCGTTTACGCTGACCGATCGACCCTTGCGAATGTGTGCGTGCGTAGTAAATTAGTAGGCGTTAGATATTTACGAATGACAATCAGTTAAAATAATGCATTACCACGCATTTTGAATTTAAAAGATGAAGAAGACAATGTTTGAGATTTTTTTAATTAATTTTTCTTCACCATTTGGTTACGTTATTTATTATAAACCTTCTCCGCAAAATTGCCCGGTTATTTCAAAATAACCCTGTATACATATACACACATACACATAAATATTTTTGAATTCTACAGCACCAATGACATAATGTAAAAAAATCACATCCGAATATCATCATAATACAACTATTTACATTAATCATCCCTTTCCTCTCCGTTACCGTGATAAAGATAACAATCGCTGCACATATGAACCACCATATGAACTACTCGACCGTTTTAATTCTCGAGTTATTCGTACATCGCCTGCCAAAATCCGTTGTGAAATACATGCAGCCACGCGTAATAATTAACTATTCGTGTGCATTGTTTATTTTTAACTGTTATTGAGTGAGTGGTGCGTAAGAAAGGAAAGGGCCAGCAGTGGCGCGAAAAGAACATGTACTCGTATATATTACGTAGTTAATTATCATTTTTATTTTGTTTTGTATTCTATATTGCTACACCTACGTCTAATTCTCACCACTCCATGCGTTGACTGGTAGAGAATGCCATAGGGCCTTTTGTATTCTTTTGTTATAAGGAATGCAATAAAGAATAAATAAATAAAAGTACAGTTATCAGGTAAGTCCCCCGACTATTCGCTCATCTTCAGCATAAAGCCGCCTTGTTCGATCAGGGGACAGGCAGCAGCGTCTTCCTAAAAACAACTAAAAAAACTGCGGTTTTCAACCCGCTTGCCAAGGGGTGGCAACAATGGCAAATTTTTATACGTGGTAGAGCCATGCTGCAGCTATATTAGTAGTATAGTTGTAGCACGAATGGGTCGGCTCGACCGGAGAAGGACCACGCTCTCACAGAATACCAGCTTAAAATAGCAGCTTAACACTGCTGTGTTTCGTATGGTGAGTGTAGAAAACCGGAGACCCTTTTTACTGGAAAACAGGCATTCCATCTTAGTCCTCACGGGTGACAACGCATCTGCATTTCGATTCGCAAGCGAGGATAGATTTAGATGTCTATGGGCCACAGCAACGACTTACCATCAGGAGGATTGTGTGCTCGTTTGTCACCCTATCGTATAAAAAAAATTAATAATTAATGACGCAATCTATGCGGGAGGCCAATGTTCAGCAGTGGACTTTAATAGGCTGTAACGGTAACGGATGCAAAAAGCAAGCAGTAGTAATATCCCCAATTTAACTACAGTAAATTGTTGGCTGAAACCAGGTCCCAATAAGGGCAACGTCTGTGTTTGAGACGACGCCGCGCCGGTAGGTGCTAAATAGCATTAATTTTTAAAATTGTTTTCTGAAACAAACACTAAGGACTAAATATAGATATTTACGTTTGATCAACTTGGAGACGCGTTTCTCCAGGTCTATCCAGACGCGCGGGTCACCGCGGTCTTCGTATAGTAGTCCGAAATAGTCCTTCTCCACCAGGTTCAGGCTGTCGCACACTTTGTCCAGGAGTTCGTGGCCGCGGATCTTCCTCTGAAATAAAGACAAGTCACTGTTAATTATTATTATTAACAGTAATATTTTTCTATTATAAGCTATTATACAATTTGGTGCTTAGGTGACAACGCCTGTAGCCTTCTTTGCTTGCGTTTTTTTAAACGTTACCTCCACACTAGAATTTTCTTCTGTATCGTGAGCCCCTATATCCTATATAGATTACATACATAAATTTTGCTAGTACAAACAACAGACCGGGAAAAATATTTGTAGGCCATACAAATACTGATTCCGTGTAAGATTCGAACATGCGGCCCGGAGCCGTCAAGTTAGTTTAAAGTCAATTTCAAGTGTCAATGGGCTGCAGTAGCCACTTACCATCTGGTGGTTCAACTATTAGTTCGTTACCATTTTCATATTATTAAAAAAAAATTAGAATTCCTTGTCTATCACAGATGTATAAATGTACTAATGTATAAATGACTGTCTCCGAGTTTAAGCATACCCTTATGTTGTTATAGGTATTACTTATTGTGCAATAGATAGCTTCGCTAGCTATAACAGCATTAAGAGCCGTAGTAGGTGAGTGGCTAAGTGCTTACGGTACATTTTAAATTAGCTAAGCAAGAGAGGCTATCTTAAATTATAATTGGTAAACGCAATTTTGAGTGCTGATTCACAGTTCAACAACAAGGTCGTGAACAAACATATCAGATAAATATAATATTACGCGGACAATGTGTTATCCAACTTCGCAATGGCGCAGCGAGGCGGGCTAATGATTTTCTTTTATAGGATAGGGTGACAAACGACCACACAGTGCACCTGATGGTAAGTGGTTGCTGTGGCCCGTAGACATCTACATCTATCCTCGCTTGCGAATCAAAATGCAGATGCGTTGTCACCCGTGAGGACTAAGATGGAATGCCTCTTTTCCAGTAAAAAGGGTCTCCGGTTCTCTACACTCACCATACGAAACACAGCAGTGTTAAGCTGCTTTTTTAAGCTGGTATACTGTAAGAGCGTGGTCCATCCCCGGCCGAGCCGACCCATTCGTGCTACAACTATACTACTAATAAAGCTGCAGCATGACTCTACCACGTATAAGCTGCAGCATCGCTCTACCACGTATAATGATTCCGCAACTGTCCCAAAAATGAGAGGTCTGTACCCACCACAAACATTTTACGTAGTAGAGCGACGCCGTACGAATGGGTCGAGTCGACTGGGGAAGAACCACGCTCTCACAGAATACCTACGTAAAATACCAGCTTAATGCTGCTGTGTTTTATGTGGTGCGTGTAGAGAACCGGAGACCTTTTTTTACTGAAAACGAGGCATTCCATCTTAGTCCTCACGGCTGACAACGCATCTGCCGTATGATTCTTCATAACGGACTGATATAGATGTCAATGGCTACTGTATCCCCCTACCATCAGCTGGACTGTGAGATCGTTAGTCACCCTATAAAAAGACTGGACGCAGTGGCCAGAATCCGTTCTGGAGGATATTGAAAAATAGTTTGTCAATGTGACGTAAAAACGTTACTCGTACTTACATCAGCGTCCAACTCCATCTTGGAGCCATCGAGCAACTCCACGTTGACCCTGGTCGTGTTCCCAGGCCGTTTTCGTGGCGACGCCTCCTTGGCCTTCGACTTCCCATCCTCCTTAGCCTCCTTGGCCACCCCCTCCGGCATTTTGCCGCGCTTCCTTCAACACCTGAAAATAGGGATTATGCGTAAATAATAGTTTTTCAAAATATGAAAAGGTACCGAAAATAATTAAATAATAATAATAAAATCACTTTTACGGATTTTATTACGTTAATTAGTAATTTAATTTGTCCCGATTTCATGGTTAACCTAGTGTACCTTCAGTTTTTATTAAAAGTTACAGCCTTTATACGTCCCACTGCTAGGCACACGCCTTCTCTCATTTCTGAGAGGGTTTTAGGGCAAGGAAATGTTCGCCGCGCTACCCCAATGCGTGTTGGCTTCACATGTCTTCAAAATATATTTTTTATTTCTCAGACATGCTGGTTTTCTTACAATGTTTTGGTGGCGGTGGCGGTGGCGACGCGCGTGGTAAATCAGCACTTTACCACGCGCGTAAAAATTAGTAAGTAAAATTTCAATTTACAATTTCATTGGTGCGGGCGGGGATCGAACCCGACTTGCACGCGTGCTGCGAAATTCACAGCAAATGCTAACCTCCTGATCGGACCAGTTAAAAGATGAAGGTACGACTAGTATGGCATAGTTACGTAAAACACCTCCCCCTCTGTGACTACAGTTACTACAAAGCATTGGAAATGTCGGAAATTAAAAATAAAAAGGTTAAATTAAACGCAAAGTTATGGTGATTTTTGCATGCCGTAAGCGCTCTAAGCGCGTCGGTATGTCCTACTAGGGCCTAAAAATGAAGATTCCAACGTTTTGTCACAGGAAATTGTATCTAGCAATCATATTTTTTATTTTTAAGTGTATTTTAAAATTAATATTAATGTTCAAGGAATTTGTCTTAAAACTAAACTAGTCTTATGTTATAATAGACGTTTACTACCTCTAATTAATTTCGTTTACAGAAATCCAAGAAACACTATTCAAGTGTCCGTTGTATTTCACTTCGTCGTTAATAGTACCACATTTTTAGTAACTAGCGATGTGTGATAAAATAAAAGTAATGACAAAATTATTTAGAGTAGTTTTAATAAAGCGCGACACGTTCGTAAAAGCGGTTTATATTTATAGACCATATTATACTCTGCTTGTCTTAGGCTCCATAGTTGTGTAAATTTAATATATGTATATATTAGACAATTAACATCAGATGGGTGCTATAAGCTCTTTTATCACTCTAACATTACAAAATATATTTAAAAAGTGCAACAAAGCAAAAAGTTAAGAATTTAAAAAGCAGGTCAGCCATAAAACCTTCACAGTAGTAGAAAAGTCGTAATTTTACACTCCATTCCCGCTTCAAATTGCAATCGCACGCAAGAGTAATTCCTAGAGACCATAATGGTTTTGAGGCAAAAAAAGGCAAACGTTTGATGCAGTAATTTGCCGGAGTTACCAGAACAATAAATATGGTATGATGGATCAAGATATATCTATATATATATATACACGATTCAATAGAAGTTTTCTTCTCGCACAACTACCTCCAAAGATTTTTTCCGGACCTATACGACTTAGGGACCTTCAAGAAAAGTACGTACTCCTTTTTCAAAAGGCTGGCAATGTACCTGTAATTTCCCTAGCGTTGCAGTTGTTCATGGGCTCGTTTCCCCGTCTTACATAAAAAAAGTTATCGATTAGAATTATTATGCTCGTTTTCCTCTGGTCACATGAACCTCAACGTACGTACCGTAACGGTAAATCTTAGAAAAGACGTCTGATGAAAGAATTCGTAAGCCGAATTCAATTCATTTTACTTGTATAGGCGTGGACATTTTCGTGCTATGCTTTGTTAATTTAATTGACACTTTAACTGTCAAAGTACGTGATCAGTCTGCGTTGAATGGATATTTTTTATTTTAAAAAGTGATGTTTTAGCATTAATTCGGCGATAAAAAACGCCATCTGACATCAAGCAATAAGGCAACGTGTAAAGTTTCCAATTCACGTGAAGAGCCAGCAGGTTACCTTTGTTAACTTTGAATTTATTTTATTTACTCCTATAAATAAAATAAATTCAAAGTATAAGAAATGTTGTTTCTTTTTTTACATAAAACAAGAATGAGAACCGTAATAACCATCTAGTTGATAGTATGTAGCCCGGGGACACCTGCAGCTAACTACTAACAACCCAAGGCCGAAATATCCCATTGTTCCTTAATAAGACTGTTTGCATTATATAAAAAATACCAAAGCAGATTAGATCTATTCTCACTTGATGGCTTGCATCAAAAAAGTGGTTATCGGTGATTAAAACTATGAAATAACGGAGTTTCTTCATTGTTAATTTAAATTTAAAATGTATTAAGTTAAATATTACGTATTTATTTTTGCTAACTCAACGTAACGTATACTAATTATGCATGTGGTGCCCTCCTGTACGTAATGGGACACTTAGTAATAATAATTATGATGTCATTCCATATGTATGTAACAGCGTAGGTACTCATTGTTGTGAGAGCCTAATAAAATAAATAAATAAATAAATACTATATAAATTAAGAGAATAAATTTCCTATATAATAGGCTACGAAGTTTTTAATAAACTATTTAGACATTGAGATCGTGATATTCTTTACTCCACAACAAACTGTAAAAAAAAACATCTTATATAAAAGAAGAAAAAACTTCACTTCAACTTCAAAGTACCAACAAGGATAAAATATTTCCATACTAGCTGATCCTCGCGACTTCGCCCGCGTGTTATTTGGGATTTTAGTTTTTTTGCGCGGAACCCTAATTCTTTTTCTAAAATAAAATTAGCCTAAGTTACTCCTCATGACATCAGATGTCTGCCAGTGAAAGTCCCGTAAAAATCGGTCCAGCCGTTTCAGAGATTAGCCGGAACAAACAGACAGACAGACAGACAGACAGACCGACAGACAGACAAAAATTTTAAAAATTGTGTTTTTGTTATAAGTATCGTATATACTTTCATATGCATTTAGTAAAAAGCCGTAATTTGACATTACAAACAGACACTTCAATTTTATTTATTTGTTTAGATTATGAAGTCGGTATTATTAAATAATGTGTTAAAGCCCTGTTTAATTCTCTTATGCAAGAAACGAAGGGCTTGTTCCGTATCCTAAAACCAAATTACAGTTTTAGTGAATATTTTACGCTCGTCACATAATGCATGTAATTCTAACAAACATGGTCATATTTTCCGAGTAAATTGTTAAGCAACATCACAAATATTATAGTGACAGCGTGGGAATAACCTTGCTTCATTGTTAAAGACCGCAGATTCGAAACCGTGCGTTTTGTGTTTACATATGTATGTGTATTGTGTTTGCAGATTCCGTTAATTATCTCTTTGTTGTAATAAATTGGGTCACATAAGCAATGGCGAAATGTTTAAGCGTTTTAATTCGATTCATTATAATAATATATATATCCATTATCACATGGTAGAGCCATATTATAGCCGCAGCAATATTATAGTTGTAGCACGAATGGGTCGGCTAGACCGAGGAAGTACCACGCACTCACAGAATAACAGCGTAAAATAAAATAGCAGCTTAATGCTACCGTGTTTCGTATGGTGAGTGTAGAGAACCGGATACTCTACACATCACTTGTTACATCACTAATGCTAACCGAAGTGACCTAATCAAAATGGCGACTAATTGGGTCGGATGAAGTCAAATACACCTTATCATGGAGTGAGCTAATAAGTCGCAAATGCAATTCGCAATTCGACGTCGTTCGGTGTGAGTCATTAGCATAGGAACACGCAATTGAAGTGTAGGTACATAGTTTTTTACAATAGCAGCGCTTGGCAATCAAGCGTTGATTTAGTTTAGCTTAGTCAAGCCTTGACTACAATTTTTTTTATATGATTCTAAGCCAGCGCTTAACTACAATACTACCAGATGGTAAGTGGTGATGTAGTCTAAGTAGGTAAAGCGCACTGACTTAACTAAAGCTTATTCACTCTCACCTTGAAGACACCTACATTGTAATCGGATGGAAACACAGATGCTGGCAACTTATTCCACTCCTTTGCTGTACGCATGATGATGATGAACGATGTAGCAAACCGTTTGATTCGAATGCGTGGTAAGTTAACAACGAAACAGTGGAGACTGGCCGAATGTCAGGTTGTCCAATAGTGGAAGTGAGAGGGAAGAGTTATTTCTTTATAAATGCATTATTATACAATAACACCTTTTTTTATAGAATAAGGGTAACAAACGAGCACACAGTCCACCTGATGGTAAGTGGTTGCTGTGGCCCATAGACATCTACATCTATCCTCGATTGCGAATCAAAATGCAAATGCGTTGTCACCCGTGTGGATTAAGATGGAATGCCTCGTTTCCAGTAAAAAGGGTCTCCGGTTCTCTACACTCACCATACGAAACACAGCAGCATTAAGCTGCTAATTTACGCTGGTATTCTGTGAGAGCGTGGTCCTTCCCCGGCCGAGCCGACCCATTCGTGTTACGACTATACCAGAAATATAACTGCAGCATGACTCTACCACGTATAAAAAAAAAGACAGACTCCGGCAAATTTGGGGGCTCCGTGGCGCAGTGGCTTAGCAATCAGTTGTTGCGCTGGGGGCCGCGGGTTCGAATCCCGCACGGAACAAGTATTTGTATGGCCTACAAATAATTGTTCCGGGTCTGGATATTTGTCCTTGTGCAATTTATGTTTGTAAACTGCCTCCACGACACAGGAGAAAATCCTAGTGAGGGGGTAACGTTTAAAAAAAAAAAATTCTTCTGCCTAGGTTGGTATTACTTTATTATATCTACTCGTACCTCCATACCATTTTGTTTATACATACAAATATATAAACATTTTTTTTTAATTTAAGTAATTACAATAATAATAAGTCAATGCTTGACTACAATCGCACCTAGTGGTAATCGGGAATGTAGGAATGAACTAGTTCATTTCAAAAGATAGACGTAAATTATACATATTTCCATTTATCCGAATCTTTAATAGCCCAGGATATGGACAGAAACCAGAGTTTGATCAGTTATCGAGTGTCAATACCAATC